CTTTCCTGGAAATAATACAGCCCATCACACTGGATAGGAAAGAAGTCATGACATTACCTGTGAAATAATGATAAAAAATCAGGTTATCCACTGTGGAAAAGCAGGGGGAATCAAAGTGAATGATATGATGGAGCTTGAATGTGTATTAAAGTCAAGTCCAGCAACTACATTTCAGGGTTCTGCATTTCATCAATATTAATCTTGCAAGGACATTTTTAGATCATTTGTGTTATTGGGCTTGCTAGAATGAAATTAAAATAATTATCAGTAATAAGTTAGTACTTAAAATATGCTTTTCAAAAGGCATCACTTAAATCAAACAATAATATTAAAATAAGTTTATTATTACAGGTAAAGCAACAATTAGTCACAAATACACAGATTTCACATGTTCTGCAAATGGGTATTTTATCATTACCCTATTGATGTCTGTCGGTATGAGATCTATATTAACAGTATAAATATGTAACTTATTCTAAGCTTTAACTTTGCATTTAAAGGTATTGTACCCTCTGTGTTTCAAGCAGGACTTTTCATTCTCCAGGAAATGCATCATTGCCATCTTGTGGCTACTGAAACGTAAATGTAGAAATAAATTCCAAGTTTCTAAGAAGGACCAGCAACATTAATTTACAGACACATAAGTGCACATTTGTTCTGGTTTAGAAATAATAATGCCAGCCTTGGTTGAGCATATAAACTGAGACAAAACGCACATAACGTGTTTAGTCAAAGCCTACTTAGATTTAGATCTTTGTGCAGCTGTTTTGTACTGTATAGTACTCATAGTGAATGGCCATGTCATCTTTTTGAAACTGATCCTTGATTTGTTTACTAAAAACTACTCCTTTCTACTTTTATATGATAAAGAAAAATCTTTCCAGTGTGAAACAGATGTTTTTCTCCTCACACTTTCTGGGTTCCTGAGAAATGTCCACTCAATACTGGTTGAAATAAAACAGTTACACAATTAAGAAACAATGTGAGTCAAACTGTGAGAAATTGTTATTTGGCATTTTGTGGAAACATGTTAGAACAGCCTGTTATCTTGATCTCTACATGATGCAAAAGAGTGCAATCACAATACTTTTCTACTAAAGGTTTTGATATTTTATCTTTCATTCATTCCTGAGTAAGTCTAAGAAATGATTGGTTCTCAGTGCAATTTCAGGACACATTTTAAGGAATCACTTGAGCAACAGTAAAGAGCACTGAGAATTGAAAATTCCCTTCATTCAAACTTTTAATATTATTGCAGCTGGTATCAAACTGTGGCATGGGGTACAGTATATTTCTCTCAGAAGGGGGCATCGGGCATGTAACTCATTTGATAACATTTACATATGCAGAAAAATACAGTACATGTAATTGCGCGTCTTTTCAAAAGGTTTTAATGAACCTTTAGGTTAAACAGAATTAAACATCACAAGGTTCCTAACACCAAGGGACAGATTTTGCCTTGAAAAATAATTACATAAAAAAGGAAATGTGACGAACACAGACAGCTGTACTACTATAACATTGCAAGTGCAGTGATGTAAGAGATGAGAGAATACCCCACCTCCAGTTGGTGGCAGACAAACTCTGCTGTTACTCTGCTCTGACCAGGCTGTAGAACTCTGCTTTGGAATGTTCCCCTTGTGTTGTAATATGTTTTGCTGAATGACTAAGACAATGTTCCTAACCACATAAGGAAAACGAGCAGACTGCCTTTCTTCAGTTAATATAACCTCACTTTCAAGACCTTGTATATCACATAAATCTTTTAAATGCACAACGCTTATAACCAAAATCAAAAGAAAGAACTGACCACACAATACGTGTAGTTGTTTCACTAAGTCCACATTATGATGATAATTAATTAATTAATATAGCACCTTTTATCCAAAAGGACCCCAAAGGATTTTACATTTAGGAGGTGGACCAAATTTATCCATCACAGAAGTGTAGCAAATAACTGGGTGAAAGCAAGTATGCACCTACAGCCCCTCTATAGTACAGATAAGGTGGAGAAGAGAAAAATTCTTTCACTTATTGAATTAAGGGAGAACATTAGACAGGGCAGATTGCTGAAGTCCAGAGCACAGTTCGGCAAGAACACTGGAGTTAACATGTTTACGCTCACTAACACTGCCATGGAAATAGGTCATGGGAATACAGAATATGTGGAATATGGAGTCATGGATTCAGGTTAAACACCTCGTATAAAGAATGGCCCCTTCTACAGCACAGTGTTCCCAGTACTGGGCTATTGGTTTTAAAACTTTGAGCCAGAGTTAAAAGTGGCACCTATTGGTTTATCAACATCAGTTACTGCAGAAACTTGGTTTTCCTTGACGATCTCCCATTCTACTACCGGCCAGACCCAGCCCTGCTTAGTTTCCGAGATCTCATCACTACGAAGTGATAAGGCAGCTCGCAAATGCTGCTACTTTAACTATCAGCTGCCATATCGCTCTGCAACTCACTGAAGCCACTGACCCACTGAAGCTAAGCAGGTGTGAGCCTGGTCAGTACCTGGATGAGAGACCTCCTGGGAAAAACTAAGGTTGCTGCTGGAGGAGGTGTTAGTGGGGCCAGCAGGGGGCGCTCACCCTGCGGTCCATGTGGGTCCTAAAGCCCCAGTATAGAGACGGGGACACTATACTGTAAACAGGCGCTGTCCTTCAGATGAGACATAAAACCAAGGTCCTGACTCTCTGTGGTCATGTGGATGCTGCACATTGGCGGTTATGGAGGGGAGTCCTTGTTACCTGTAAAGAGCTTTGAGTGGAGTGTCCAGAAAAGTGCTATATAAGTGTAAGCAATTATTATTATTAACTATGTAATCACAAAACAATCACATAAAAACAAAAAGGGCAAATTGAAAAAAAAAATCTTTGCGCTTTTAAGTGAAATGTACAATTACTCTTATTTACAAAGAAACAGCCATTCATTCAATGAACACCATGCTATGGTACCCTGTAATTGAAACCTGGAAATTGTATTATGGCTTTCAAAATGTAAATTAACTAGTGAAAAACCTCTAATTCCTGCTGGAAATTTGTCAATATCCATTATGTTCACGGACCCATCTTTCCTCAGCTCTCTCTTCTGGCAGAACAGTAATTGATTATCTGAGTTACTGTCAGACTACTATAGCTCTTCTTCCGTATTGACTGTGTATTTCATTGGGTGTTGAAAGATATGGATGATAATGAGCACCACAAAATTTCAGGGTCCCTATAATAGACCCTGAAAGCACACTGTCCTCTCTCCACTTGTGTCTAGTATCTGTCTTTATTTATAGTTGCATTAAATCCCTCAGGAATAAAAAGAAGCAAAGAAGAAAAATGGCTGTGATATGGATGATGATAATATATTAACAACACAACAAATATATTACAACAACATCACTCTCCCCTCTCCAACAAAAAGTGCTGCTGATGTAAGTGCTGCAGTGGGACAATTTACTGTATATACAGCACAGGATTTTTTAAAACATTGCCTTGAAAAAATGTCTTGAATAACAGATGTGATTTGTAACAATATTTCAATTTACCTCACACAGAACAACATTTGTACTGTGGCTGCTATTGTAAATCTGGAAAAAAACAAAGAGGCAATTTGATCATGAAAACTTGATATTGAAGTTAATTTAAGACATTTGATTTGGTGGTTGCAGGTTTAAAGCAAGTAATAACAGAAAGACGAGAAAATATATTAACATTACAAAAATAATTTACCCAGAGCTTGATCAGGGTAGAAGACGAAACAGCTGCAGTGTGGTAATATTAAAATCATATCCTAAATTGAATCAGAAATTCTAGGATAAACAGAGCTAATAAAATAATGCACTGTTTGTGATAAAGATGATAAAATGGAAAATACCAGAGTGCCATTACAGCATACTGAAAACTGCCCATGAGCTATTGATACAGTATATCCAAGATTTGTATATGAAAAACAAGCCCACACTTCATTACCTACAGGGCCTGACTTTCAGTATCAATCTGTCATCATAAAACTGTTTAAACTGGTACAGTAAAAGAAAACACACAAGAAACATACTTTAACTTGAGAGAGGCCTTCATTTCTTTTGTATATTAGTTAGGATTAAAGTTAGTCCCAAAAGGAAAAAAAGCATTTAATCTTACTTATTTTCAGACTTTACAGATCTACATAAGTTTACCTTTTTACATTGTGGAGTTTGCTGGAAAAAAAATCAGGGAATGGAAATACGTCTAAATGACAACAAATCATGGAAGAGACTTAGGAAAAGATATTCCTCTATTCAAGCTTTTTCAAAACTACTGGGATTTGGGCCTATGGGGTAACAAAATATTTGCAAAATTTCCTCCTCTTATAGGGCTGCTTCTGTAACCTGATTCACAATTTATTCTGTGAAGCCTCAACTCCATTTAGAAATTACTTGCATTTCTTAGATGCCACTTTGAACAGCTGATCTTAATTGGTGATGCGAGCCACAGAGCTTTGAGGTCAGCCAACTGTGAGCTTGAAAAGCAATGCTATTCCATAACTCCCTGTGTTTAATAATCTAAATATTGTTAACACATATCTGTGGAGCTGCAAAATCTCATCTTAAATTTGTAGATTTACCTGGAAACTTTACTGCTATGAGATGGAATGTTGTCAACTAGCAACAAAATATACAAAATATATTCTTTATAAATTAGTCAGAATTAATTAATGAATAAATATAGTTCAAACAAAGGGGCTCCAATTTTGTCTGCAGCTATAAATGAATACAAAGCACCCTACAAAAGGTGTAATAAACTATGTCCTTCAGTGAAAAACTCACATATTTTGACCTTAGAATGCATAATTCATAGAATTCTGTCACATCTATTCACATCTGTTGTTGTCTCTTTCAGAACTAGTTGACAGCTAGCATACAGCATAAGCCACAATCTACTGAACAAGCTACTCTTAAGGTACAAGTTAACTAACATTCAGATAAGGACTTTTCCCCCCTTTTCAAGTTGTTAGGTAACAGATAAATCAAGACTTTGACCTGACATTCACTCCCATCTGAGTGAACAAATTCAGAAAAGAAAATGACCCAGTGCTGACAGAGGGATAAGAATATTTTACTAAGGTAAGATGGACTTAAATGTTGTTTGAAAAATATTTGTGTTTGACACTTAAAACTATTTCCAACTTTCACTTGAAAAACACAAAACTGTATTTTGTTAAACAAATTGGTATGTTATGTCTTTAGCCCAACAAATAGTCATGGTAGAAACAGAACAGAGCACAGACATACAGACAAAAAGATTCCCAAGGTAGAAGTGTTTAAAGTTTCTCTGCATTTGATTTTGACTGCACCTGCCAGGACCCACACATCATATCTAAAAACTAGTAGTTGTTATTGGTTCTGCTGAAATGTAAACTAATTCAAGTTGCAAGACTATAATAAAGCGTCCTTGAAAAGTCAAAAAACGTTATTGCAAAGCATTTGATTCTGTTTCAAAACCCTGTTGAGGGTTCAATTGCTGAACCAGCATGAAAACAGAATGTGTCCATATTCCCCAGGCTTCAATCCTCACCAAAGAGCAAAAACAGACACTTTGACACAGATCTATTTACTGAGGCTTTGAAAAGCTGAATTCACAGCATAACTGGAATTTGTGCTTTTAGCCATAGATGTCCTTCTGCATTTGTTGTTTTATTTTCATGTTTCAGATAAACCAACAGCAAAACAAAATATTCTTCCAGTTCCCTTTGTTCTGACAAAGCAATAGAAAATTGTGAAAGCTTCGATCATTTCACGAGGACACAAGTTAAATGTATTTCTCTCACAACAGATGACAAATTTCTCTCTTTTGCTTTTCTTAAAGTAAGCTGAAGAAAGCATTTTGGATTTGGATGCATCTTCATCCTGGGTTCCAGCAGTAATTATTAACAGCTGACAGCTTTGCAAGAGAGAGAACTGGTGTAAATGCTTTTCCTAGTCATGAAAATATAAAATCAAATCAGTGTTTCAGATGTATGTCATATTACTATTGTATTTCCTACTTTATGTTGAAAAGTTTTTTTTTCAGGTGATCAACTAAAGTTATGTGTACCTTTATTAAAGGTATATCTGAGACAGTGAGAAGCAATCATTACACCAAATAAATGAAGTCAAATAGTGTCCAGTATAGCTTGGATTTCTAAAAACTGTTAATACAAAGTAATACATTTAGTCCTGTAAGACCTTTTTGAATGATTTCCAATTGTTTCTCCTTTGAACAGGTGTTTTTATTAGTGAAACTGAAGTTATTATATTTAATGTATGTTATGTAAATTAAGATAAAACTACGGAAGTGTATCAACATCGTCACTGTCAGACACAATACAATTTCACATTATTCATATATCAGTTATTTGCTCTCAGTATTCACTTCCAGCTTACTCTTTAACAGTCAATTATTCATTATAGAAGAAAAACTTAATAAGCACATTTTTAACGCAAAGCAGTATTAACTCAACTTCTGAAAATAAGCAGTTTAATCTTTAAACCAATGGTTTGCAGATGGTTCATGAAAAACAAATATGTTTTGTAATTGCCTTGCAGCAGAGTTACTCTTGATTTTTCACCAATGTTACTCTTCAGGCACCCTGTGTTAGAAGACAATCCCAGTATAAATCATGAGCTGTCCCTACCTGACCCTCTCCATTGGGCACAAGATGCCGCTCATAGGACTTGGGACCTGGAAGAGTGCCCCTGGACTGGTCAGTGTTCAACTGTGATGAGAAGTGGCCATGGCAAGCTTGAGCTAAGATTTCAAATTAAAAATTAAAATATGTCTGATAAATCACAGGTCACCCATGACCAGTTCCAACCAAAGGGCAGAGGATGGCAGCCCACTGACACAGACAATATCAGCTGAATACAGAGCAGAAACAATTAAAATAACATAAAATGTACACTGCAAGATAACGCTGACCCGCATTAAAGATTTTAAAAATTCCCTTTATTTTTATTGCAATAAAACAGACATATAGAAAATCAGAGTACTCTATAACGCAGGCTAAATGAGTAGATATCTTTACCATGCCCACCACCAAAGAATTTGATTTTCATAGTCGCCTTTATACAAAATATGAAACATTGAGCATGTTCAATGAATTCAATTAGGAAATTCTTCATGCCTTCATTCTACCACACTGAGAAAACAAAAACAAAAGCAATATTTACTATCTGTGAAGAAAGTAGGTAAAAATATGGGGGTCAACTGGTATGTCAGATGAGCTAGGGAATTTTCCTACATTTTTACTAGCAAAGGCTGTAAGAAGTATACAAGTACCTATGGATATCCATGTTCTAGGATTAAATGACACCTGGCTCTGTAGGCAAATACAGAAAGTATACCTCTAACATTCTACATTCAGAGCACACATTGGAAACATTTTATTAATCTTCTTTATTTATTAATTGTTGTTTGTTGATGTAAAGTAAATAAAGTAAGCAGTGTTATAACCGAAATGGAGTAAATCTGTGAAGTCTGGCAACTATTCAAGAGCATATCCTATTCTTCAGGTGGCATTACCAGACATGTCTGTAACCGATTCTGGTTTTATTTTCAAACAGATGATAAATTATTATTCATTACATAACAAATTTGAAAGAAATTAAACTTTGGGTCAACAAGATTCTATCCAAATTCTCCTCATCATAGTGCAAGATGAAAAAAATGTACTAAGTGTTGATTTTCCTCAGTCGTAATGGAATGCTCACAAAGATATGAGATTTGGTTATTCTGAAGAAAATTTTGAAAGAAAGCATTTTGTTGAAAGCTAAAAAAAAATATTGTCTCTGCAAAACACCTTCTGGATATTCTATTTTTCTTCCTTGCAGGACAAATACAATTTTTTTATACCAAAACATATGCTACAAGCAGTTATTTTAAAACAACTTAATTTTAAATTATTTTTTTCAGACCTCAGACATGTCCACAATACTGTATGTGTTACTGCTGATAGAAAGAATCTATTCTAAATCTATTATCAAAATAGAGTATTATACAGTAACTGTTTAGTAACCTTAAAAATCATTGCATATATTTACTCAAAATAGAGTGGAAACAAATAGATATGGGACAATATTAAGAGGGAAGATAATAGAATCAAAAATTAGGAAGGAAAATGAAAAAACTTGCCCAAAATTGAGGAAAATGCAACACTTCAGATAACTGCTGCTGTTATGCTGCACTGAGAAACAAACGAGCCTTTTCAGAAATGCCAAATACATTTGATTAAAACAAATTCAGTGACCTCCACCTATGTGGAATTTTATAAATCTAACTCATTTGGCAATTAGCAGTTAATTGATTACTGTTTATTCTGAAGACATCCACCGGGTTGACTTTGTCAAGGTTGTTGAGCAACTGTTAGAAGAGTTGTGTCAGCGGCTTATGAATAACATCTTGGTTCCTTAAGTACAATAAGTAGGATACCAACAGGCCCTGGAGATTTATTAACCTTGACAACTTCAATTCTCCATAGACTTCTGCCTCTTCATTGTTTATACTATAAAAAACGTTGTCCTTCTGTTGGCTGAGGCAGATTGAAATAGTCTTTTAGCATACCAGCCATTTCCCTTTCATTGTGTAGATCTTTCCCATTACTGTGCCAGATACATTTTACTTTATTGTTACAATTAATTTTGTTGTTGTGACACAGAAATAATGTTATTATTGATTTTAGCCACCATTTTAATATTCCTTTCTATGTGTCTTTACCTTTCTAATATTATTTACACTTTTGCAATTCATTTTACTCCTTTAACTGGATCCTGTTTTTTAATTATTTTATCAAGTGCTTTCTTTACCCTTATATATATTTCTTAATTGATTTGTTAAACCAGTATCTCACCCACATAGAAAAAGCTCTTTCCTTGCCTCGGTGCTTTTCCATCTATGTATTCAATCAAGCATTTATCAAACCTAAACAAATCTGCAAGAAAAAATAAAAACTACTCCAGGTACTCCCTGTGAAACAAAACACTTGGCTTATTGTATGTTTAGTTTGGAACCATTCGCACTCTTTCATGGTACTTTTGCTCTCATTATCATTATAACTAATGTAATGATACACATTATTACTCTAATAATACAAATTCACACTATTTCAATATTATTATTAGGATATATTGAAAAGTACTGTAATATTCCATCCTACCAGTGATTAACACTGGGACTGTTGTTTAACCTTCCCTGTCCTTATCTGATTTATCAGGGAAGTAGTCTTCTTCTTGTTTTTTTACCACACAGAATGTTAGAGAAAGCTACTCTCTTTCTCAACCTCTCTCGATGATTAGCACACACCTGCTAATTAAAGGCAATAATCCCCTATGAGTTCGTAGTCCTGCTGTTCTGCTTTACTTTTCTACTCACTGATATTTTCTTACAAAAAGGTGTCACTACCTTACTTTAAGAATAAAACTTTAAGACACAGGCATTTAAAAAAAGTACACAACATGGAGCGTATACTAATATGTAGCACTAGAAAGGTTTTCAGCCATGATTAAAAGGGTAACATTGCAAATGAACACACACAAGGCAACAAGTGAGGGCATATACAGTACATGGTTAGCCAAAATGCCGTCAACAACTTTGACAGTTTATTACAAATGAATTATTAAATTCATTTGTAATAAATCATTAAAAGGGGACTCCTGAGGTAGACCTGCTGCCCACTAAGAATCTTAGTGTGCTGGTTTATGTTTTTAATAAGTGTATTTCTGACCAGGTTAAGCAAGCTGTGCTATGTGCCCTGGACTGTGGCTACAGGCACTTTGACTGTGCTGCAGCCTATGGTAATGAACGGGAAGTAGGAGAGGCCTTATTGGAAAGAGTGGGAACAGGCAAGGTATGTCAAGTTTCTTTTTAACAGCTTAACCGAGGAATTTCAAAGTTAGACACTGCAATTTCATAACCTCTGTCTGAGAAATTAAAATAAAGTAATATTCTAAGAACACAAAAAGGTTACAAATGAAAGGAGGCCATTTTCATCATGTGTCCCATTTGTAAATTGGTAAATGGTAGCTTATTGATCTAAGGATCTCATCCAGTCATCTCTTGAAGGAAGTCGGGGGATAATAAGCAATGCCCTCTAGAAGTACTGGGAAAGTTAAGCCTAATTATCACTTGTCATCAAAAAATATAACGGATAATTAAAACTACTAATTATTATTTCATACTGTCTATTCAGTCCTATCTTCTTGGTTGAAATAAACTGATACTGTTGAACCTGTTTATTTTAAAGGAGAAAAATTATTACAAAAATCTGGCTGACAGATGTCAATCAGGTATATGTTATTGGGTAATTAGGCACACTGAAAAGAGCTGTAAACATCCAATCAACCTGTCTCAGTTTGAGGTCAGTATTTGTTGTTGAACGTCAGAGTGAAACCCAAAAGAACTGTCTGGTAAAGAAAACCAGATGATTCAAAATCAAGAAAACCTCGATAGGGACCATAATACAGGAACTAGGCATACTGTACAAGAATCAACAATTTAGAATATACTGAGGAAGAATAAGGCAGATATAATTACCACTCATCTAAGAACAGATGGGTCAAAACAAACAATAGTACAGTAGGTGATGACAGAACAATGATCAGAGCTGTCAAGAAAAACCCTGAACAACATCAGTGAAATCACCAACAATCTCCAGTTTGTGTGTAAGTATCAAAAACCACAAACGTGGAAGAATGAGAGAGCTGAATTATACAATCTCTCAAAATGGAAACCTCTCTTCAGTATCAAGAATATAAAAGCCAGATTAGTTTGCTCTGAAGATCAGTCAGAAGAGTTCTGGATCAAATTGTATTGACAGACGAGGCCATGATTAAGTTTACTAAAGTGATTGTAATGTCAATGTGTGGAGATAGGAAGAAACTCCAGAAGATCCAAACAACACTGACTAATCTGTGGTACGGTCTCACTCTTCTATATTGACAATGTAACAAGTGACAGCAGCTGCACAATAAATTCTGAAGTTTACAGAAACATTTAGTCTGTTTATGCAGGAGAAAATACTTCCATACTTATTGGGCAGCGCTTCGTCATGCAGTATGGCAATGACTCAAAGCACATCTAAACAAGGAGAAAATCTCAGAATGGCTTGTCAGTCTCTAGATTTAAACTGAAATGTGCATGATTTTTTATATGCTGAAGAGAAAACATTGCTTGGCAATGCATCATCAAGGATTATACAAAGAGCTTAATGTGCTCATTGCTCAAATGGCATACATCATACAATTATTCCTCATTTCTCAAATGGATATGCAACCAAATATTGACTTAAAGTTGACATTTAATGTGAATCTACCCCAATACTTAAGGTCACTTGAAAATATTGGGTTAAATGCAAAGTATGTTTTTGTTGTAACAGGACTGAAATATTTCCATTAAATTACATAAAAAATAAAACATATGTTGCACTTATCATTCCTATTGGTCTTATGATCTCAAATACCGATTGTTTGTCTGTAATGCAAAAATGACAGGTTTGACTTTGCTTTTTCAGTACTTTCAAAGGACACATTTTTTAATTAAATGATTTCATAAACAGAAAAAGCTTGCCAAATCTGGATGCCTGACAAAGCAGGACTGTATTTCGATCATTGTGTATTTTCAACTTTCAATTTGCAAATGATACACTGCTAAAAAATTAAATCAACTTGATTCTCACATTCCTTCACCTTAATACAGATCATATGAAAAAAGATTAGATGCAAAATAGAAAGTTAATTCACATTCTTCTGCCATAACCTTGTTTTCTCTCAAGCAAATTAAACGGGAGGAAGTGTTTGTGACTTCTAAGCTGTGGAACACAAAGCATCACCCTGAAGACGTGGAGTCATCCTGCAGGAAGACGCTGGCAGAACTCAGTCTCCAGTACCTGGACTTGTATCTCATACACTGGCCCATGGCCTTTGAGTAAGTGGGGAACTGCATGAAGTTCCACAGGGCTTCACCTGGTATCTATTCCCTGACTACCCAGAACCTTTCATAAACTTGTATAATTCATTTCTGCCCAAACTGGTGTCAAGACAGGATAATATTTGATTGCTATTTGCCCTGTGTTAATGGATAACCCACAACCCAATCTTTAAAAACAAAAGGTCCAACCACTGTCTACAGGGAATCACATGCTAAGAATTTACAAATGTCCTTTTCCTATTGCTGAGCAACACAGATGAGTGTGGTGGCAATATAGTAAACCAGGTCACTCTAGATTGAGTGCCATCCCTACCAGGTTCAGAAGCAGCTGTTGAAGCTCTGCCTAGATCATGGCGTAGCACCCCCCCTCACCTGGCAGAAAAAGTCCATTCTTTATGCCAAGCCTTCAGGACAAGTTTCACAGACACGGAAAAGTCATGGTTCAAGACCAGGTGTTCATATTAAGTAGACAGAGCTGCTATTCAGGGCCTGTCAAACCACTGCTCAGTCTTCTCAAAAGAGCTGTGTTCTCGTACAGGAGGGGGGAAGTGTTGATGCCCAGGAATGATGATGGAACAATGCGACATGGCGACACTCACTATAGGGACACCTGGAAGGTGATGGAAGGACTGCTGGACCAAGGTCTTGTCAAGGCCATTGGACTATCCAACTTTAATGCTAAGCAAATTGATGACATCCTTAGCATTTGTAAATACAAGCCTGTGGTTAATCAGGTAACAAAACGTTTCTTTCATACATATACAGAAAACTTTCAAAAATGACTAGATTTACTGTACAACTATTTAATGTTGATTTGTAAACAATGAAGACACAGATTGAAATGCATTTAGAAGAACATATTTTTATCAAACTTACCTGTAAATCTATTGACAGACTTTAAATGCGCTGATGAAGGTAGATTACTACTATTACAAAATGACATTTAGTAGAATTCTCATTCACAAACAAGAATCAGCGCAGTTCTGTGATAAGACAATGAATTACATTACCTGTATAATCCAGTGCCAGCAGCTATATTTACCTGGAACTCACAACTGGCAGCCCACTGAAGCTCAGCAGGTGTGAGCCTGGTCAGTGCCTAGATGGGTCCTCACAGCTCAAGGTAATTTGGTTTGATAAGGAACTCTCAATTTATACAACTGGGATTATCCAGAGCTGAGCGGCCAACCACATTGTAACCATCACGGCACTTAAATTACAGTTAGTAAATGAAAGCATGATAAAAGGGGAAGGAGAGCTGTAAAAACCACTTTAAGGTTTGATTTTGGTTTGTCAACAAATAACGCAGCAGGTGTTGGGCCTGAAGGGACTTTATGGAAACAAGTCATCCTTGCCACATAAAGATTTGCCTACTAATGGGCAGATTATGGATTGTGAATGTTAGCAAGTACTCATGATTGGATGCAATGTTTAGGGAATCTTGAACCCACTTTATCTGTAGTCTTTAAATATATGTTAGTTTTTTCCTTGACCACTTGTAGTTTCATAAGTTATCGCATATCTATTCTCCACCAGGTTCTTCCTGAAAAATGAGAAAAGGTTTGTGACCTCACTTGGTATTCCCTAAGGATTTGGGATCTTTTATTATTTAACATTTACAAATCGCTTGTGCTCATGCTGATGTTAGGACTATTTAACTATTAAATTAACCTCTGTTAACCTCCACCCCAAACATAATACAATATTCTTTCACCATCTAGAGGCCAGCTAACAGTTGGTAAAAATCATTCTCCTACTGCCAGAGTACCACAGATTAGAGTGCTGGCAATAAATTGACCCAGGTCAATCACCTCTGCAGGTTGAGTGCCATCCCTACCTCATTCAGAAGGAGCTGTTGAAGTACTGCCACGATCATGGGATAGCACTGACGGCTTACAGTCCCCTAGGGTCTCCTGATCGGCCCTGGACCTCTCCTGGAGAGCCCCAGCTGCTAGATGACCCCCAAATCTTGGCCATCGCAGGCAGATATGGTAAAACACCTGCACAGGTGATCTTAAGGTAAGCACTATAGCAGCAAAGACCACATATTGAACATTTTACTCTGCTCCTGAGAAACGCTTACAGTGTGTATTAACTGCCTATAACTGCTTGCAACAGAAAGTAAGAAAATATATAGTTCTTTCTAATATTAGACTGTATTTATAATGAAGCTAAATGGGAAATCTTCTCATTGTTTTATGAATATGCAACATAATATGTTGCAAAAATAGGATCCTCAACTAATCAGACAAGTTTCAGATAGGACCCGCTTGTTCTTCTGAAGGTGGCAGGTGCAGAGAGGAGTAGTCTGCATCCCCAAGAGCACTACACCTTCTAGGATTCAGCAGAACATTCAGGTGAGATGCTCACACCCGCCTTTACCACCAGGGGGCTCTACTGAACTCCACTTCATAAGGATACTGTACAGTTTCTCTATTAAAAATAAAATACCCATAAAAAGAAAACATTTGATCATTGTATTATAAACATCCTACTTTGATTTCTTTCTACTTATATTCTTCTACATATTTACTCTGCTCATTAAGGCCAGTTTTGTAATTTGTAATCAGCCTTTGCAGTAGCATAACTTGCAGTGATGCCAAACACCAAGGATTAAACAAAATAATATTGTATTTTAGTGCTTGGAGTTCAACTGTGATAGTTTTTAATGTTGTCTGTCTTATTCACTGTAAAAAGGTATTTGACTTTACACTGTCGAATGATGACATGAAGCAGATTGAATGCTTTAACCGAAATGAAAGACTGATAATTCCCACTATAGAGGTAAGTATAAAAAGTGGTGAGTCCTTCTTTTGAATAAAAGAACATCTGTATATGATGCATTACTGTCAGAGTAATTACGTAGTTCTCCATGTTAGTATTGCTTAAATCCACATTAAGCAAATTTCATACTACTCTACGTTGTGTTCCTGCCATTCCAAGGAATCAATCTTGTGAACAGACATTAGCGCTACTCTTTACATTATTAAAGAGATTGAGACTTCCCAATGATTTTTCTGTCCTAAGAAAGCTTCCCAAAGGAACGAAACACAGGTGACATGTAACTATTAGAATACAGAGGGTGTAGAAAATGTTG